CATATGCATGTATACCTACATTGCTTCTTACAGAGTCTAAATCAGTGAAAAGGGCAGAAGAGGATTGAATAATATTGGGGAAAATCCAAACCAAGTGGAAAATACCATGTCATTGGGAATGTCTCACTGAACAGAATGGCTGTTTGGGTATTTAGGGGTGATGGGATTTTTTTTAAAAAACAACCCACAAAAGCATACAGTTCCTTTGATAGTTATTGGTGAAATTTGTGGTAATCTGTGATCATGATAGATAGTGACATCACTGGGGTAATTAACTGACATAGAGGTAATTTAATATTTTGGCAATTGTATAATATTTAAGACTTTGTGTATGGTGTTTATTAACAGGCTGAAAATGAGCTGTCCCTGGCAAGAAAAATGATACAGTGGAAACCATGGGAGCCTCTAGTTGAAGAACCTCCTTCTGATCAGTGGAGATGGCCAATATAATTTTCAAAATGGTGTGACCTCTTCAAAGTAAAAAGAAGAAATTAATTATTAACCTATCGTTACTGACAGTTGTCTTTAAATTAAAGATAATTAAAATAATAATTAAAATATATTTTGTCCACTTACATTTAGCAATCTAAAGGCTGCTGCCAATTTCTTGGAAAAATGGTTTTAAGAAAATTCTGGCATTCCTACAACCTTTTGTTTATTTAATTTTTTGCATTCTTATTAACAGGGTACTTCTGCCTTACGCTGAGTTGTTTTTATAATCTGTATTTGTATGTTAAAAATACAGATATTACAGGCACTTGAAATCAAAATCCAAGTTGTAGAAAAGTATGTTGATTTTGTCCCACCTTTGGCTGTGTATTTTTGCTACCCCCTGACAGGGTCTTAGTGGCCATGCAGGTACTGCAGTGAGGGGTCTAATGCTTCCCAAAAAGAACAGGAGTTTAGGTTTCAGCTGAATCCCTGTCCTGAACTGGTTGTCCCTACTGCTCACATAACTAAACACTATTTCTGGCTTGTGGGAAGTACCGGGAAGATGGGAGAGGTGAGGGGGCTGACCCTACTGCCCACATAACCCTATTTCTGGCTTGTGGGAAGTACCGGGAAGATGGGAGAGGTGAGGGGGAGAAAGAAAACTGCTGCTGACATTGATGGCACAACAGGTTTCTTGTTAACAGGTAGGTTACCATACTTGGCATAACACCTGCAGCACAAACCTTGGGACTGGGATCTTAAGGACTCATTGTGTAGACTTGTATTGGTCTATTGTTGATTTCACATCTTGAGTGTTACATGTTGCTGTAAATGGGGTGACATGGCTGGCTGCCAGTCACCAGCTGGGTCCCACAGGGCTCCATCTTAGGCCCACTGCTCTTCAGTATGTTCATTAATGACTTAGATATAGGACAAGAAGGGATACTCAGTAAATTTGCTGATGACACTAATTTGGGAGGAACAGAGAAGCCTTGCAGAGAGACCTCAACAGATGACAGAGATGGGCCATCAGCATAGGAAGTTAAAGAGACAAGTGCTGGATTCTGCACCTGGGATGGGGCAACCCTGGATGCAGCAACAGACCGAGGAATGAGATACTGGAAAGTAGTGCTGCAGAAGGAGACCTGGGGTTTGGTAAATGGCACATTGAATCTGAGTGAGCAGTGCCCTGGCAGCCCTGTCCTGGGTACATCAGGCATTGCCAGCCGGGCAAGGGAGGGGATTGTCCTGCTCTGCTCTGAGCTGGGATGGCCGCACCTCCAGTGCTGGGGCAGTTTTGGGCACCACAAGAAAGATTGTCACGTGGGAAAGTGGAAGAGCAGGGACTCGGCACACAAGAAAGATAAAGAGCTTTTAGAGAGTGTCCAAATTTGGGCAAAGAAGCTGGTGAAGGGCCTTGAGGGGTGGCCATATGAGGAGTGGCTGAGGTCAGTGGACAGACTGTGGCCTGTTCAGTCTGGAGCAGAGGAGATTGAGGAGAGACCTCGTTGTGGTCTTCAACATTGTCACGTGGGAAAGTGGAAGAGCAGGGACTCGTCTCTGGTGACCAGTGACAGGACCCAAGGGGACAGCATGAAGCTGCATCACAAGGGGTCTGGGTTTGCTATTAGGAAATGGTTTTCAGCCACAGGGTGGTTGAGCACTGAGATTAGCTCAGCTGTTAAAACATGGGGCAAATCACACCAGGGTGTGTGTTCAGTCCCTGCATGAGCTGTTCATTTAGGAGTTGGACTTGATGGTTCCTTGCAGGTCCCTTCCAACTCAGAATATTCTGTGATCTTGGAACTCAGGATATTCTATGATTATTTTGTAAGCTTTTGTTTAGAGATTTAATCTTTTAAATCCCAATTAAAATATCCAAGCTAGATCTAAGGGCACTGTGCAGGTTTGCCTTTAGGTAATCTGGGAACTCAGGATATTCTATGATTCTTGTGAAGGCTTCTGTTTAGAGATTTATCTTTTAAATCCCAATTAAAATATCCAAACTAGATCTAAGGGCACTGTGCAGGTTTGCCTTTACTGATGTTTTTTTCAAGACCATCAGCAACATTCCTGCAAGTTTAAAGACAGGAATACAGCTGTATCACAAAAATCTGCAGTTTAATAAGCATTTGTGTATGCACTACTTACACAACATACTTGGTCATAGCTGTTTTTTCATCATTTTTAGGCTTATAATTTTACTTGTGACATCATTATTATAAATGATTAATTACAATTTATATCATATTTTATGCAATGGTATTGGGGGGTAGGTCAATAGAAGAGAAAAACAGTATTCCCAATGTATTCACTCCAGAAGCTATTTTCACTGCCTTATTTAGCACTGGATTCCCCATTATTACTATAATTACAGAATTTTTTAGATTTTGAAAATTTAAAAAGTGAAAAATACTTAGTTTCATTGTTTGAAGGATTTTTCAGTCTTGACCAAGGTAGAAGCTGGTCTTTTCCTAAGTAAAACCACTAGATGGCATTCCAAAAGAGGACTTTGTTAAAAGTTAACAAACACAATTTTCACAGGAGAAATATTAAGGGATTACAGACTTGAATGAGGGCCAATGCTATCACATGAGTAATGAAAATTAATGGATTTTGGTAATAAGCATTGAGCTCACCTGAGAGGAATCAAAATGATATAAACTAAAAAATTGAAAAACCCAAAATAAACAAAGTCTAGTATAAATGAGAGCAGCATGAAGTACTGGAGGTGGGGGGGAAGGAAGTTTGCCAGAATATGGTAGCAACTATTGGAATTCTTTCTATTATTCCGTACCCGAGACATCTGCTGAACTCTCTTCTTGTTCAGTTATTTTCTCTACTTCTAAAGATGTATTTGTCACATTTAAAACAGCTGTCCTATAAGCTCCTAATTGTGCTCCAAGGAGGTTTTTTTTCATGTCCCACTGCTGCTGAAATTTGATACATGGCCTTTTAAAACTGAGTTTCACAAAAAAAAAGCATACTCTTATCTTCTTTTCACAAATATACATCTGTGTCCTCCATACAGGTCCTAATTTTTTCCAAGAGGAATATGCTAGCAAGGTATAATTTGAAGGCTAACTAATGATTTTGCTTGATTTTTCTCCTTTAATTGTTGAAAATACATGATGATGCAAATAATTTAATAATCTGTTGTAATATGGTAAGGTAAATCGCTGCAAACTGTACAGTTAACAAACTTTAGATCTTTAAAACACTTTGAGATCATCTGATCGAAGTAATGTGAATAAAAATGTAGTTTATCTGCAAGGATGGGACCTAGCAGAGACAGAGCCTGTTACACCAGAAAAACAACTTTCCCATGATGAGAGCAGAGCAAATACTGAGGTTTTTGTAGTTCCTAACCTGCCATCTGTGCTGCTTAACCTATCCCAAGTGGTTGTACCAAAATCAATAGGAGATGAGTGAAAGCTGCTTTTTATTATTATTTTAATATTCAAAGCTTATATGCTATTTCATTAGCATATATTTCGTATTTCTTATTTCAAGTTGCAATGAAAAATCATTGCAACTTGAAAATGAGCTTGAATGTTTGATCAACTACATAACAGTGACAAAGTGACACAAATGACAGTATCTTTCGATAGGATTAATGGTGATCCTATTCTGGGAGTTCAAACAAGGTTTTAGAAAAAACAGCATTAGTAGTAGTAATGGGAAATTTCTGTCCTTCAGATGCGCAGCAGGCCCACATTCAAGTGCCAAACAATGTCTGGGAAACATGGTCATGGCATACAATTATTGAGTATCCATTTGAATTCAATGCCTGCTGAAAGGCTTATTTTTCAGGATTCTCCTGGAATTGCAACTCAGAACTGTGTGTTTCACATCTGAAAGTTGTGTGATGTGACTGTCCACTCATTTTCTTATAGCATGCTGAAAACATTGCAGGAGTTGTGTCAGAAATGGCACCTCAAACACCAGGAAATCCAGTTTCGTATGGTTTTCATTCTGATTTGCAAGTGAATAATTTCCGGTTAACAGCCTCAGTCCTCACGCCACAGACCCTCCAGGGAGAACAGCACAACCTAACATGTCACGGGTGGGCACTGCCACACAGTTCGGAAATGACCGCGTGTGGCACAAAGGCTGCCAACATTCACACACAACACCCTTTCTCGATATCCAACACTTCTGGGGGTTTAGTACAACTTCTGCTATGGATATAAGGGAAAACGGTGTTTTCATACATTAGTGCCGCTGTGGGCTGGTACGAGCTCACAAGGCTCTGCTCAGGCCCACAGCGCGGGCACGGCCCCTGCGGGTGTGCCAGCACTGCGGCCGCTCCAGGCCGCCAGCTCGGGCTCCTGCAGGTGCTGTGGGCTGCAGGGAGCCAGGGCACTTGCTCGTCCTTTCGGACCGCCTCCCTTTCCTCTCTTCCCGACCCTTCCGAGCCCCGGTGCGATTTCGGTGCGCCCGGCCCCGCTCCCCAGTGCGCACGCTCCTGCTCCGCGGGCGCCCGGCCCGGTTGCCGTGGCTACCGCGCGGCCGCCGGGGCGAGCAGCGCCCGTCCGGAGCGCCGCCGGGCCGGGAGGTGCCGGGGACAGGGACAGGGGCAGGGAAAGGGACAGGGGCGGGAGGGTGCGGGGGTCCCAGCTGAGCGGCGGCCGCAGCCCGGCCCCGGTGCGCGCTGTGCCAGCGGCCCGCCCGCCCCAGCGGTTCGGCATCCCCGGGCTCCGCCGGGAGCTGCGCCCCGAATCCTGTGGGTTTGGTTGTGGTTCTTTGTTCGGTGTGGTTCTCTTCCTGCCCGTATCATTTCGGTGGCAACTTGGAAGACCGTAAAGGTGTGCTGGGTGATGACCCCTTGGACCATCTTGTTCCGTAGGCAGAGAACGAGAGGTACAAAGAGCTGTGCCGGCTGCCTGCCTTGGAGTGTTACTTTTGGTAAACACCAGCCACAAGTGCTCTCTGTTTGGTGGAAGCAAAGATCTCATGCTGTTCTCAATAGGCCTTTTGGGAACAGATGCAGGAAAAGCTTTTCAGGACAGCAAGTTACCCATAATTCTGGTAGTAGAAGTGTGCCAGTATGCAATTTATAATAGTTCCTGTGATTATTCTTGCAGAAAGGTTAGAAGCATGCAATTGATGCTTTAGGAAATGGAAGATGCATCAGATGGCTTTGAAGCTGTTACATCAGAAGGATCAGGTGCAGAGCAATCACCTGCATCCTCACAAGGAAAAGCAGTCGGAGAGGCTGGGGACCCAGCAGAGAAGCCTCTGCTTCTGGAACCTGCAGGCACTGCCCCATCAGAGGAGGGCTGGGACCAGCAGTCTCCTTCTCAAAATTCAGTACTACCAGAGAGTACAGCAAATGGGACAGAGACGGGTAAAGAAGTTGTTAAAATGTTGGGTATTGATGGTTTAAAGAGATATTTTTTCTTCAGCTTGGTTATAGTTTCTTGTACACCTACACACCCTCATTCTGTTTATGCTTGCTGAGATTTGGTCCTGCAGTAACCTTTTAAATTCTCAAATGAGACATGCTCCAAAGGTAAGGAATGTATTTATCTCAAACTGTAGTAGTCATTTCTAGATGGTGTTTTATAGAATGATCCTTATTTCCAGAAATGTGTATGCATAGGTATACATATTTTGTATGTGCATTTAAATTAGCAGTTTAGCCAGCATTATAGAAATCACCTTACTATTTTACCTTTCTTAGATTCCCGTGTAACTTGCCTGCCACCCTTCTTTATCCTTGTCTTTCTCCTGCAGCTCCATCATTTTCCTACACCTGTTCTTCATTGTTCTGGGTGTCTTCAGTCACTTCCTCTTCCCACCACAGGACCCCATTTTCTTGGTTCTTCAGAGCAGAACAGAGCACAGTGAATAACAATTCCTAGTATGGACTTCCTGACTACTTTCTTCCTGGCTCGGTTGCATTCATCTGCTCTCATTCTGAGTAGCTGGCTAGGAATATCTTTATGTGGTGACAGGATTACATTAGATACCACCTTTAAAATTGTATGATAGTACTATTTCAGCTTTCAAATGGTGTCTGTCTTTTATCTGAAAAAACTGTGATTATGCTGTGTTGCAGTGTTACAATAAAATCATCCTGGGGTAAAGTTGAAAGAGATATTTGTTTGTTTTGAGAAGCTTCTCAGGAATGAATTTTGGTTTTATTTTTAGCAGGCATGATTAAGGATAATGAAACACCTAGGAGGACTGGGCCTGATTTTGATGAAATTGTCCAGTCTGAAAATCAGGAATGTCTCTCTGGCGAAGTCATTCCACAGGATTACCACATGCCTGATGTCATAACTGTCAGAGTACAAACAGGTAAATACTGCTTTTGCACATTTGTTGATACATATGTAATTATGATCTAATCTAGATGTGTTACTGAAAGAAGCAATACCTATATTTTGGAACTTCCATTTTAACAGGTTCGAATTCATTTCAAGAAGTAGTTGTAAAAGTTGAAAGACCTACCTATAATAAACCTTTTCTGGGTGGATTTAGGAACATCTCAACAGGAGTGGAATTTCATAATGCAGGATCACAAACAAAACCCAAAAAACGACCTGACAAAGGAATTCAGTTATTTTGTAGGGAAACACAGGTAAAGGCTTTGTAATGTCCTTTTAGAATGTTGTTTTTGCTAAATGGAATAGAATGCTGACACTATTTCTGAGGGGAAAGAGGAAGTAAATCTGAGATAAATGTGCAAATGAAAGTATTTAGTAGATAAATATCATTATTCTTGTAATTTTTATTGCAAATAGCTAATTTTCCCAGTTACTGTAATGAGAAAAAAAAAATTCAGTGTATTTTCTTCTAATCTGACATGTACTTTTTACCCCAGACGGCTGTGGAAAAAAATACACGACAGCAAACAAGAAATACAACATCGACACAGATGACTAAAATTGGCCTTTATGTATCAAACACGACTGACAAACTAATAACTCCTGGAAAGTATTTTACAGCAGAGGAATACCATAAACGTAGACTTGAAGCAGTAAGTCCTTATCTGTAAAATAATGAATTGTGAAGGTTATCTGAATATTTAATGAGTGTTCAGAGTGTTCAAAGACTGAATTTAAAAGTGAACTGTAAAATGTCTTCTTATGCTCACCTTTTGTAATCTTTCAGATACAGGGGAAGTGCATGTTGCTCTGGGGTTTTAGTGACATTTGATACCTTGCAATCTCTTAAATATTAAGAATTCTGAAATTACTGTTTTCTGTCTCAAAGTGACAGTTAAGTTTCCATGTAGAACATTAAGGATTAAAACAGGCTTGTCCTTACAATATTCTCATGATCTCTTTGGAAGAACCTAAGCTGCATGCTTAATGTATGGCATAAAATAAATGGAGTATTGGGTTAGGATTTAGGAGATCTGCATTCAAGCTTTTAAGAGTTTTGGGAGCAATCTATTTGGGAACAATCTATTTGGGAACAATCTATTTGAGAACAATCTATTGTTCTTTGTCTGTTTGGTTGGAGTTTTTTTATCAGACTTAGTAGGTTACCTTGGGCAAACTGATCCATTTTGGATTCTGTTCAAGCTTCCTGCTTTGACACTGAAGTAGAATTGGGCTGTTCAAACACAGGCAGTGGGTCTGTGGGGTTTTCTGGTGCACTGAGTTGCCTCATGGAGACAATTCAGATTACAGATTCTGCATATTCGTTGTGCAGAGGATGCCATTTAGGCCTTCCACTCTGCTTTTTGGAAACCATGTGTTCTGTGACTGCACATCTAACTCGTCTGCCCTAAATTGTGTTAGATGAGGCACTTCTTTGTAAATGCTCCAGTTATTAATTTGATTGCTATATTGAAAATAGACAGTCTGAATCCAACTCAGTGGAGAAACAGTTGATTCCCCAAGTGTCTAAGCAGAATAATTGTATTGGTTATTGTATTGACATGGTTGGCAAGATCTTTGAAGTTTTCTGGGCAGAAGTTTTCTTGTAAGAACTTCTTAAGTCAGCTTTAGCTGATGGCAATGAGCATCTTTTAGAAGTGGAACCGGAGTAGGGAGTAATTTCCACAGGACTACTATTATGTTTTACTGTGGTCTGTAGTGACACTTCTGGAAATCTGTAATGTATCTATAGGTAATTGATAATGCACAGTAGAGAGATGTCATCTTGGTGTTGGTTCACATTGATGGATTTGCCCAGTGCAGTATAGGTCCATACTGAAATACTGTTTGAAGGCATATTCAGGAGAAGTTTTAGATTAAGATATTACCAGAGACAGCGTGACTGTATTAGTATGATTTTGTGCTTGATAGCTTTGATGCTGAACAGTGCTTGGTACCTCATGGCATTGATCTGACTGAACTGTTTGTAGTGCAGGTGCTAACTCAGCCAGCAGAAGGTGAGGCTCATGCAGTGTCCTCCCTTAACATATCGTAGGTATTTCCCCAGTCCTCAATAGCCACAGCTTGGGAATGTAGATGATTTAATTTTCTTTTTTCATTTCTGTGATCATTAACAGCATTAGTAATGTCACTTTTATTATTTGTTCACAAATAAAATGCATTTGATTTAGTGTCTATGTGTTGATTTTTGTAACTAGAAATTTAAAAGAAATCTTGCAAATGTGTCTACATTTCCACTCTGTAAATTTGCAGTAAGGTAAGGAAAAGAATAAAAACACTACATGGCGTAATGCATTTTTTAAGGGGAGATTTGAAAAAGAAAAATGTATATTTAAATGTAGTTTATATTTTGATTTGATTATTTGAACTTATTTTATCCACTGTACTTACTGGTTAAATTCCTGCAGTTACCTAATAGAGTAATCATACTAGTGCTTAAACTAATAGTACTGATTTTTTAACATTTAAATTACTTTCAGTACAAGACAAAACTTAGAAAATGTAGTTAGGGAGCTGGAGAAAAGAACAGTTAAGAAATAATACTACACTTCAAAATACTATGTTGTTTTGTTTTAAATTCATGATTCTTTGGTGTTGTATCACATATAGGTAATAGTATTACAGAAATATTTCCGTCGTTGGCATGCTGTACATTTATTACAAAATCTGAAGGAACAAAAGAGGTTAAGGCTGGCACGGGAGGCACAAGAAGAATTACAGAAAAAATGGGAGAAAGAAGAAAAATTGAGGAGGGAGTATGAGAAAAAACTGAACCCTAAAACAAAAGAAGACTTTGAGCTACTGTATCATGACTTGGAATGTAAGTTTTCTTAAAGGATTCCTTAAAGCAACAAAATAATACAGTTTGTTTAAAACAAACTTAGGGTTTTACATGTATTTATAGATACTTCCACGATTTTTTTTTCTACTTTACAGTGGATTTTTTTTAATTTAAAAAAAATATTTTAATTGCATGTATTACTAGAAACAGAAAGAAGGCCTTGATGCTCTGGAAGCACTGCTCAGCAAGAACTAAACATCCCTGTGTTATCAACTTCCAGTGCCTTACAAGCTGCTATGACTAAAATTTAACTCTATTGCAGCCAAAACCAGTACACCTTTTTTAGAAATAACTGGCTCAGAGAATAGTGCTCTTTGGCAGTTTTATTAACATTTTTTATTTATGTCTGAAGTTAAGGTCAGCTAGGAGAACAAAAGGGTGTTATTTTAGACCAGAGTTGCTTTTATCTTTCACTCTACATTTAAGATGCTGAAGAATTTTTGTACAGAATTTTACAACATATGACAGAAGTTATTCCTTTTGTCTTAGTTGTCCTCTACCGATGCCTTTTCTCCTTTCTAGTTTATTCCATGTTTCACAAAAGTGTGTTGTCAAAATTTAGAAAATCTCTTAGGAGTTCTGCAGGACATTCTGAAAGTCATACGTTTCCTGTTCTTGGAGTAGGTGCTGTTTAATGCAGGCAAGCACCTCTAAACTTCTCCAGAAAAATAATGTGAATGCTGCAGATAATTAACATAAAACCTTACAAGAATCTAATGGTGCAAATAGAGCAAAAAACTTAGAGTATGTCCTTTGGAAAAATAAAAACAGTCAAAAGCTGTGTACTTGTACCAGCATATAAACAGCAAGACAAATTTTGGTTTTTTACAATGTCTCTTTTAAAGCAGAGGTTTGCCCTGTGACTTGTAACAATTCTTATGTTATCTCAACTACAGTGCTTTATGGTCTAGCTCTTTGCCAGTTTGGGTATTCTTGTCCCTGTAGCAGAGCTGACCTAATAGATAACTTAATTCATTGCAAAGCCACCTGCCCTACCTTAAACCATCTCAGCTCTTTCTTCAGTGGTTAACTGAGCATAAATTTGGTGGCATGTGTTATTCATAGAGTTCAGGATCACGATTCAAAAATTCCCAAGTTATACACTAATCTTTTAATGCTGTCATACTTTGTGTGGCATTGAACAAATGGCTTTGTCTGAATTAATAAATGATTTATAAATATCACTGTTCGTGACAAATGTAAAAATTATTGCTTGTCTTGAGCTTTGCAGTTATTGGACTGGTATCTTCATGAGATTTGTGGTTTTCTTGAGGTTGTCTACCCCCCTCTTTTTCTTTGTAGATAGTTTGCTTTTCACTTCCCAAGAGTCAAGCCCTTTTCAAGTTGTATCTGACTAAGTAATCAAAAGCCAAGGTACTCAAATAATACCTTTTTCCTTGCCACTTATGACAAGTCTTACTATTTTGCATCTGATTTTCTGAAATATTTTATTCGGGAAGTTGCTTCCAGACCAGTGTGCTATCAGATGTATGATCCACTTTCTTTTTTTTTTTTCTTTCTTTTTTTAAAGTGTGAAAAGTCTTACTTGCAGTAGAAACAACCAAGTTCAGTTGAAGTTATGGAAGAATGCTGATCTTCATTATATTTTTAGATTTGAAACTTATCGTTATGCAAGTATCTCTTGCTTAATTGAATGACTTTGGATTCACAAATAATAAAAGTTTCAGCCAAGCATGTTCAGGAATTTCATATCTAGTCAACCTGAAAAAAAAATTACCACTTCAGAACAGAACAAATTCCAGTATTTGAAATTCTTTTTTTACTATTTTGTTAAAATAATGGTCTGGTATCAATCTCACTGTTTAGTTTTTGTTAACTGGTGTTGACTGGTTGCTTCTCTGCATGGAGATTTGCAGTCATGCTCTTCATTTTAATAGAGCTTAACGATTCTAGGAACTTGGGGTTTTTTTCCTACCTGCATCTGAAACAATTTTTCATTATTATAGTGCCAACAATTTGCACAAGCTAAATCATTGTGACAGTAATAGAATGAGACTATTGTCCTCCAGGGATCTGTGAAGGTTATAGCTGCAATCACAACAGGGTTACTATTACAGGGTCAGCCAGTACAAGCAATTCCTGGTGGTACAAAAACTTGCCTGTTGACTATATAGTGCAAATGAGGTCTATCTATATATTCAGCATGTCTGCATAGGCATTTATTATTTATTTGAAAAGTATGAACTATTTTACTTTATAAATACTGGAATAAAATTGTAATGAGTAAAATCTTTGCAGTCAGATCATCTGCAGAACAGATAATCTAAACTTGGTGGCAGGTAAATGGGGAATCAAGAGGTGAGTATCAATAGTGACAGCTTCTTCATTTCTGAAAGTATAGAATTGTTTACTGTACTTATTAGCTCCACCTTAGAAGTTGCTGCCCCCTTCAGGAATAATAAAGCTTCATGTAAATAATTCTATATAATGCTGTTTGCTGAATTTGCTTTATTTAAAATATATATCTTTGGGTTCTCAGAACTTGTCAGACAGCTGTCATATTACAGCTTGAAGAGCCTTAAGGAAATGAATTGAAATATTTAAAAACGGAAAACATAAGGTATTGTAGATAAGAAGCCACAGGCAGAAAATAAGCCTTCCTCCTTTCCCTCCTCCTGCCTCTAATCTTACCTGAACCAGGATGTTACAGGCTTTTTCAGTGCATCACATATTGAATGGTTTTCTTTTACACTGGGTTTTGCTTTTCCATAACTGTTCTGGGATGATAACAACACTTTGCAGGAATGTTAAAGTTTTGCATCTTATACAAAACTCTAGAGATATTTGAACTGGATCAGACTCTTCAGAGAAGCCAGGAATTGTTACGGGATGTGCAAAGGCAGTAAACACAGTTTGATTTTACAGGCAGGTTTCTCTAAAGCCATGTAGTCTCTATATCAGCAGCAAGAGTGTCAGGGGGTCAGATTCTTATACAGCACGGACTGATCCATGTGCTGCTGTCATGACCATCCTGTGCCTTCTTCTGTGGCCACTTTCACCCACTTGGAGGGTTATAGAAGGTTGTGGAAAAGGAAAAGGAGAATAAAGCAATGACTGCTGAGTTATTAATGTGCTCTCATCTTCCTGGGATGGCAAAAGGTGATACCACTGCAATATCCAGTATAAAACCTGAAGTGCTAAATGTCAAGTTTTATCTTGGTTTTGGAGGACTTCAAGCTTCTTTAGATTTTACTCATTTATGCAGGGAGAAGCAGTAATATTCTCAGCACTGAGTACTAGTGGTACCACAGTAAGATGCAGCCATTTCATCATACATTTCCACAGGAGCTCAATTCTTTTTCTCACATACAGATTCTTTTTCTCCTACTCATCCTTGAGTTTAGAGTACAAATTGGCAGTCTGGAGTTGATGTACACACATACTCTCACAGAACATCTGTATAATTTACATTCATTTCTAGGCCATCTTGCATATATTGAAAATAGCTATAACCATCAATTCCCTAAAATGGAAACTGGGTTTTAGTGAATATTGAAAGAAAAGTCAGTTATGTTGTTTCTTAAATATGAAAGCAGGAGTCTTGCTGGAAAGCATCTTGTAAAAACACCCCAAATATTTGTATCTGCAGTATGGATGCAGGAGGAGACTGAGCGAATTAACAGAACTCTTACTGGAGCTAAAAGAAAGGCAGCACTTTGTGCACTGCTGGAAGAGGAGACAGAGCTCATTGCTTGCATTGGGATGCACAAACTAAATGCCAATATGGAGAATCAGCGAAAAGCAATACTGCACTTTCTGGGTAAGGTCAGTAATTACGCTGATCATAAAGAATATCAAAGTACAGGAACAGAAAATACTCCTGCAAAGTACAAAAAGTACCTTTTGTAGTTTTTAACAGTTAATCATGTGAATGCTAATGTTCCAAATATACAAATTTTGTGATTGTTCATGTCAATACAATTCAGTAAATTTCTTTTTTCCAAGCTGAGAATTTCATAGCTGTCAGACCAGCTGAAGGTTGAACAGTGCATCATTAAGGCTGCTAACTATAAAAAATATAAACAATACATGTGATTAATTATAATAATATAAATATGTTATTCTTCAGGAAGTAAATTTGTCATTAATTTCCCAAATGAGTATAGGCCTCTGTTCATCATATGTCTGTCTTTAAAGAAAGCATTTATTCTGTTTCCCTGTATAAAGAAGAGTTTGAATCTGATGTTGAATTCAGTTATTAAATCACTGACTTTAGTTCCATTAGAATTTTAACTTGAGATTTCATTCTTGTGTAATCTCAGGGATGATATTTAAGGTAAATTCTTCAGTCTTTATATAAAAATATGAGAATTCCTTCATTCACAAAGATGATTTAAAATGGCTTTAAATTCGGTGGTAACTTAATGTAAAATACAAAAAAAACCTTGTCTTTTGAGGTAGATATCCAGCCACTGGAAAAAAGTAATAGTATATTTTCAAAGTATGTGACATGATTATGAAAAGAAATACTGCAACAAAAATGGTTTTTAGCAATCTAATTTTTTTATTATTATTATTTTAAAAATTTGATTATTAAGTGCTCAAAAGTAAAAATGGTGGTTTTGTCCAAAAGAGACTTTTTTTCATTATTTTTATTTTTGATGCAGGGAAACTGTACTCTAAATGTGATTACATAAAATGTATTACATTTCTCATTATGAACAAGTTACTTATCTGAAATGTTGGTGGAACTGTTACCACATTTATTGCTGTGCTATGACTGTTTTCTCTCTTACTGCTTTCAAGAATGAAAAAATCTAACAGAAAACCAAATAATTAGGAATATTTTCAGAGCCTCGAATAATTTGTATGTTTAGTGTTTGCTTCTACTGCTTACAATCTGTTCTTTTACCTTCTAAGAAAAAGAAGCCTGAAACAGTCAAAGCAAATATATTTCTGTTTTAACTGACTGTCGTGACTTTTCCCACAAGGACTGATTTCCAGTGTCCTACCTGTACAGATTGCTTCCAGCACATATTCTGACAAGCTGTACAGTTTTCTTACATCTAGAATCAGAAGCAAAACGTTCTTCAGCACAAGAACTCTCAGTGACAGTTGATGTTTGAAGAATCAGGAGACACATCAAAGACAACTGATATTTTGTCTTTCCAAACAGTGGAAAGACAAGTGGAAAGACTGCTTTTCCTGAAGCAGTTACTGATAATTTATTTATTCCTACTTTAAATGTATAAATCATGTTTTTCATTAAAGGGACTGTAATCTTTTTAGTTTTAAAATTTATTAAGCTTCTGAACTAGTGCAACATTTCATGTTTTTTTATCATGTCAGCTGTAGGATTTTAAGTGTTGTTCTAAACTGGACACTTGCCAGTTAAAGCTGCAATAATATCTTTCACATCAGAAGACTGCAAGCTGCAATAGCCAATGTGGCATGAAAGTTGCTTCTCCATGGAAACCTTTGTTCCCTTCTTTGCTACTTTAAGCATGTACCTCCACAGGCATGTGTGCTCTTGAGAAGGTTGCTACTGGTTGTGTGTGCCCTATGTTCCAGGGGCTTCTTTATGCTGAACTTGTTCTTCTTCAGCATTTGTACTTTGGAGAGGAAGTATTTGATTAAGTTTTTATAGAGCAGTCATATTGACTTAAATAAATTTGTGTAACTATTAACTATTAGCTGTTACTCAGCTCATACCTTTCATGCTTTGTACTATTTCCGCACACATCTTATGGATTTTTTAAAAATTATATTTACCTTTTTCTCTCTGTCTGTCGTGGTGTGTTTCTCTCCTGAGGCACTTTTTCTGCTTTCATGCATTGGCAGCAGAGTGTAGTTGTAGTAATACAGATAACAGGATTATTGTAAATTCCACAGCACTGCCAGCAGACTAAAAGACAAGAGAAAGCTGGCAGAAGATCTCAAAGTTTTAATTTTTTTCTCCTTTCAGTCTGGAGTACAGAAAAATAGTCCTGAAATCAGGGAAATCCTTTTTAAAATTATTTTTTCTTTCTTTTCCTTACCTAACTATTTATTTAAAAGTGAGGAAAAGTTTTGATAGTGGTGATAGCTAATCATCTCTGCTAGCTATCTAATATTCTTGATATTTTTATTACTTATCACCATATCAAGTCCATTTCATCAAAATAATGATTGTGTCAATGCTGGGGTTATGTCCAGAAAACTACTAGGCATGTGAATACTGCATTAAGTGTTCCTGTTGTTAAGTCATGCTGAGACTGCAAGGTGAAGTTCGTGAGTGCTAGTGAACACTTAACTTCCAAATATAGTGAAAGAGAATAATTGATACATAGAAAGAGATTTCATGTACCTCTCCCCATTAAGAAAAGGAAATGGAGTTAAGTAATGATGAGAGAGGCTTTTGAAAGCTTTTTTTTTCTATTGGAATTGGATGCCTGCCTCCTTATGTAACAGTGTGATTTGTAATCAAAACCAATCTTCTGGAAAGAAGAAAATGGTTGTACTTTTCAGACCTTGTGGGGCAGGTGACATCATGGAACTTCTTACTATCTATAAAAGTTAAAGATGTGCAAAGAGATAATTGAAGCATAAGGCATACAGCATGTGGTTAAGGTAGCAAAGAAGAAGCTAGGTGAAGTGTCTGCTAAACTGTAAACACATACCTTACCCTAGCTCTAACAAACTGTATTCCTTCTGTCCTTCTCTGCAACTACTATAAACAGAACAGTTCCCTGGAGATATTTTTTACTGCAGTAGGCTTTAAGGTCTTAAATTTTCAATCTTTACACAGTCAACAGACCTATTGATTTTACTGATAGTTTGATGGGATTTATGACTGCAAAGTGAAATACAGAGCAAATGTATTCTAACACTACTGTCAGTAAATTCACTTTAAAGAAGTAGAGCATGTCCCTGTAGGAGAATATTATTTGCTTTTAATATCCTGTAAGTCGAAATTGTCATGACCTGCAGCTTTAAATAAAGTGTGCAACTGAATGCTTGCTTTGGTGGAAGAGGTGCTGTAATATCAATATCAGCAATAGAATTAGCCTTTTGCATTAGTCAGGCATTAACATTAAGTCCCTATTTGCTCTGATAAAACTTGATGTAACATAATGCAATTGTGCAGCTGGTGGTCAGATTTCAATAGTTCAGAGTTCTACAAATTGTTTCTGAAGTGTGCACAACCTAGGAGGTGGAAAGCATTTGATGGAAAAATCACTGAAATGGATACACAGAACTCGCTCCGTGGTAAAGAACTACTTGAAATCTACCGCAGCATTAACACAAGGGACATCCCAAAAGATGAGAGGACATCTGTGCTGTTAACACTCAAATGGACAGTGAAGGTAAGGCTTAGTTTTCTATGTATATTTAGCTTGAAGCTGTGCTTTCCAAAGGTGCTGTCACTTAATTATGTTGACACATTAGCAGTGCTGCTGCTGGCAGACAAGTGGCATGATGGTGAGCTAGAGACCTGGTGTGTGAGTGTAATTTACATTCCAGATACACTCTAAATTCATATTTCACTTTATCTTGTGCATATTTGTCTTCAATTTGTGTTAGAATTTTAACCCCATGGTTTTTTAGACTTCTTTGTATATTAATACATAATACAATTTTAGTACAAAGTTTTGTTTCCTACTTAATATCAACCTTATGAGAACTGTGGCAGGGATATATGTGGCAACTACCATTTATTTTTTTTTCAGTTCTTTGAAATCCATTTAGAACTTTATCTATCTATTGGTTTGGATGACCAGTTTTATGGGTAGCAAATACTGATTTTTTCGTCTCTTTGCCTCACTCTCTGCTGCCACTGTTGCTGCTAGTGTTTCCAATGAATTAGAAGCTGGTTGCATTTTTTTTTAGTCTTTCATATTGATTTTATTTATTTATTCATGTACAAAAAGAATGAGTTTCAAGGTCCTTTCAGGATGATACTGTTGACATCAGCCTAGAATAGAATGCTGCTTCCTGGTCTTATTAAAACAAACAAGCATCTTGCTGATTGTTTTAGTAGAGCCAGTATTTGATTTAAAGTCACTATGGCATTGAGAGCACTTCTGGTTTATAAGCTCTTGCCCATCTTAACACATACTGCTGTAGTGAACAAGTGAATTTCTGTAAATTAGCACTCTCTTTTACCTGAGAAATTCACCTCTTATGTCTCTCTCTCTGGAAAATCTCCTGCCAAGCATTGGAAATATTGAAGCGACTAATTTCCAGGCATACTGTCAAAGTCCCCCATGCCTCTTGTGTGGTGGATATTTTGGGTTTTCTTGTGGCATTTTTTTAAGCCCATCCATATTACACCTCCAATCTCATAGCCAAAGGAAGCTTCTTAGGGAAATATTTCTTTGGGCTTTTGAAAACTTAAAATTTTGCAGTTGTTGAGTACCTCTCTCTGCAAAGCATCTTTTACTGCTTCCAAGCTTACAGTTCCTCACAGCTTTGGTATACAGGCCCTTTAAAACAGAATCTGTAAGCATTCTCTCTTTTGTAGTTCTAGAGTTCTTTCATGGGAGATTTTTTTCTCTGAGAGACTAACGAGTTCTTCTGTGAACATGTTCTTTTATGAACATACGGAGGTATGAATGGTAATATCCGTAGATTCCATAGGTTGCTTTCATGTCTTGTTGAATGATTTTGTTTGCTTACTTCATTATTGTTGTGCAGTTTATTTTCCTTTTTCTCTCTCTCTCTTTTTTTTTTCCCCCCAAGGAACATGAATGTAAATTAACACAGGAAATAGTGGCATTAATTGACAGGGAAATTGATCTTTTGTCAAGAGATGTGAAGGAAAGCAACTTGGAAGGACTGAGGAAAAGAATTTGCACATTATTTCTCCAGTATATCAAAACTCCAGAGTTTAACCCTCAAGTTGCTGGGTTACTTAAGGTATTATTTTTATTTTGCAGCCTGACATAGTGGTCACTGAACTAAGAGAAGGGGGATGGAAAATATTGAAAGCTTTTTTATTTTACATTTTGCTGTAGAATTTGTGGAGGAGTTTCTCAGAAATTAAAATCTAGCAAGTACATAGGTTTCACACAAATAAATTTATATAGTCCTGTTAGGAGGCATGGAGCACAGACATGGTCATAAGCACCTGACAGGTGGCTGGCAGCACTGAGAGAGCCTGGGAACTCTTGTGTCTGAAATAAAAAAATCTCAAAGTTATAAATGGTAGATCTCATGGGATGGTATCAGTAAAATGTAATAGCAAAGCAGTACCAATATACTGAGAGAGGAAGTTGTGTTTTTTTCTACTGGTCAAGAGGCAGCATGCTGTGCCTCCAGAAAGGAAGACTGTAGCCCATGTCAATGTCCAGCAAAATCTGTTCCAGGCTTCTGCTGCAGAATCAGTTGCTACCGTGTGTGAAGAAGATGTAGTTAGTTTTGTGTGAGTGCTTTTCTTTTCTGACTACATATTGCAAATAAACATATGATTCACTATCATATGTTGCTGCTCTAAGTAGCAATGTCTATTTTGTGTCTACCAGAAGAGCATTCCTCATACAGTGGTCAGTGTTGTCTCAGGAGTAGAGAATCTGTCAGATTTGGATGCAGATGTTTGATTTAGAGCCAACTAACAGCTAATGTTACACTAGGTTTATTAGCAGATGTCCCATAGCAGAGCCTGAAGATGATCAGTCTACTCAAACTGTCCAGTTACAGACTTGGTCTGTCTGCACAGACTACATTACATTCTTTTCAGAGCCCATGAAGGAATATGGGGATGGGGAGGTCACTATCAAGTTTAATCTATTTTCTTCCCCTGTGTTCTGGACATGTGGGCCTGATAATTTTGTATTATTATGCCAAAACATTATTATGCCCATATCTCAGGGTTTTATCTTTGCCATAAAGGGCAGATCCTACATGAATAATCAAATGTGGAGAATTTAGTTTCTGTTTTCTCTGTGTTGTCATCTTTCCAGAATAACTGACAATCTGAATATATAAAGCACCACGAAGAGCACTGGAACATAATTTTTAGGATCTTCATATAGCTTAAAAACGAATAAACTGATTTATGTAACTGATTTTAGCAAATGCAGTAAGAAAATACAGTTACTTTTGATATCCTATCCAAGAACAATCACAACACTTTATTGGGTATTTTAAAATAAATAATTCTAGCTTTTGCATATTAAAATACTTGCATGAATATATGGAAGACTTATGCTGACAGTGTTTGAGTAACATACAAGTAATACAAAGATACCCTGTAGTAAATAAACTTTTTTTTTTTTTTTAAATTTTTAGGTTCCACAAGATCCTTTAAAGCTTTATAAAAACGTTTACTTCTGTCATAGCTGCGAAAAGTACTTACCACCTACTGAGTTTCCCATTCCTGCAAGTTCCCACACCATTGGCAGATGTCGCTCGTGTTACCAGCTTGATAATGAGGCTCGGAAACGAGAAGCATATTTCAAGTACAGACTTATACTAGAAAATCTCAGGAAGTCTGAAGTTGATTATCAGGATGATAGTAAAATTGTTTTCTTAGTTCAGGTACTGTTGGAAAGAGCATTGCTACTCATAGTAAGCTATGTGACTTTGACTATATGTCCTCTATTTTGTGTATGTTGTGGACAGGTTGAGAAATGGGCTAAAAGCTACAGTTTCTTCCTGTAATATGGAATGTACCACACCATAAAGAAATAGCCCTTAAGCTCTTGAAGCAGAGGTGTACTTTAAAAGGTGGTTTGCAAGCTGTACACTAACAGAAGTCTAGCTGACAGGTCAAAGAATCAGATGTTCCAACAACTGTGCAAAAAGTGTATATGGGTATCAAGATGCTCTTTAACAAGTGATCATATGACATGTGCATAGAATTTTTTTTTAACCCAAACCTTTATTTGAATTTTTATATGGGTGCAGGACTTGTAGGATGAAACATGCTTATTTCCTTTTTAAACCTGTTTTCTATTTCAGCTTCCAGATATGCAGTACCTGATTGAGCACATCTGGAGCTGCCAGTCAGCTCTCAGTGCCTGCAGCAACCTGTATGATTTGGTTATGGTCAGGTGGGATAAGCAACATGAGTGGTCCCCATGGAACACTATTCTCCTCACTAAAGAAGAGGCAGATGCACATCTTAAGCTGTGTAACCTTCAGAAGGTAAATTTCAATGGGATTTATTTTTTACAGTATTTATGTTATGTTTTAATAGAATCTTGTGATTAATTATGTTGGGTCAAATTTGGTTGTTACACTTGTTTGTGTTTAAATTGGCTCATTGTGATTATTTAAATGATTGCATCTGTACTATTAAACAGAATGGACAGTAATCCAGAAGGCATCTGGCATGTACAGCTCATTCCATGTACCTGAACTCTCTTGCCCCAGTTCTCCCTCCTGAAATGCAAGAAGCAGAGTGGCCTCATCCATGCTGCCTGCTGAGAACACTGCCATGCATGGTCTCTTCCTTCAGATCAGATCAGACAAGAGCTAGGCTGGATGAAAAGCATACTAAAGACTAGCCATAAATACTGTGGCCATTGTGTGCCTGTGCTCTTGCACATTGCACATTGCTCTTGCACATTGCTCTGGCCTTATTAGTTTTTGGTCTTCTAAATTTCTCATCAAATAGAAGAATGCTTCCTTGTCTATTTGTTATAAAATTTGCCACTACTTTCTTACATAAATATCAGCAGTGTCCCTTACAATGTAACCTTACAGTTTGCATTTAAGCAATAGAAACATAATTTCTGTTCTGAGTTAAAACCACTTAGGACTGTGTTAAACTGATAATCAAATCACACAAATCCCCCCCTCAAATTCCATATCTAAACATGGTAGGCTATGAAATACCTCTCCATTGAACATAATATATTAAGAGTATTTAGTTTTGTAAGGCATAGGAGAATCCTGTGAGTTGTCTTTGTCCTGCACTTAATAATGGCTTATTAATCCTTTCAGTTTGAGGTTATTGATTTATATAAATAGTGATCTGCAGTCATTGCTGCCTAGTGTTCTTTTGTTTTGGGTGTTCTTAATTCAATTTTTAACACAAAATTTTTAACACAGAAATGGAGCTTCCACTGTTATATATTGCTCTTCTTTCTGGAATTCCTAAGAGCAAACTAAACAGAGGAAATTAATTGCCCTCTTTAAAGTCTTGCTTTATGGATTAAATATATCAGGGAATTCTAAAGGCAAAAGAAATTCTGCAATCCATTATATTTTGTGTGTGAGTGCCCAGTTTGTGTCTTCAAGCAGAAACATTTATGAGAGCTTTAGCTTTAGCAGGTAAAATAATTTTCAAGCTGGGAATCCCTTTATTGGCTACTCTCACTCACTGTGAGTCAAGAAGTCTATTCAGACAATCTGAATCTAGTGATGCTCCTCAGCACCCATAAATTTCTGTTACCAGCATTGTGGCAGGCAAAGATCCTGATTGAGCACTTCTCTGGTTTGATGCCTTCAGTCTGGATGTCGTAGACATCCAGAGTCTATGGCATAGACAAATGACATGACTATGACATAAAGTCATAGTCAAAGAAATGACATTAACTTGATTAGGTCCAGAGCTTCAGTGGATGGGGGAGTTAAGCTACACAAGCCTACATAAAAACCATGAGGTATTTTCATTAGCTTTTGCAACAAATATGGATGTGAATCAGTTGTAGTGAGGACTCAACTTTCTTCTTCAAAAAAAAATAAAGAGTGTGAAATAAAGAAAATGAGGTGAAGATAGAATGTTGTAAGTTGAATCATTGTTTTTCATTCACCAAAACAAAGAAGTCCTCTTAAGTAATTTGTTTAATAGCAGTTATTCATAGTGACTTTATTTAATAGCAGTTATTCAAAGTGATTACTACAGCAATAGCAAAAGGTTTTTTCAAGTAAATATTCTGGTTATTTGTTCCATCATCCAAACTACTAATAATAACTAAGAATTTGGGAAAATGTCACCACTGCATGCAAGTGCTGACTGAAATGCTGCAAAATACTTGCTGTCATGATTAGTTGAAAATAACAACTCTGATTCTTATCAAGAAAAGCCCCTACAGTCTTCACCCTGCAAATGTTGCTAAGTGTCACCTTACTTAATTTTCAAATGTGAGTACAAATGTTCTCACCTGAAATAAATAAATAAATAAATGAATAAATAAGTTTTATCTTTAATGGGTAAAAAAGTTTCTCTGGTCTTAAAACATGACTAATATTTCACAAGGAGACATTTTCACTACTGGCCCATATCTTTAATGGATAAAAAAGTTACTCCGGTCTTAAAACATGACTAATATTTCACAAGGAGTCATTTTCACTACTGGCCCATAAGATAGTACTATAGAACTACAAAATATTCCATTATGTATATATACAAATAAATTATCTGCCTTAGTTTATTAAAAGGTCAATATTTATAATGTGTAAAATATGTAGAAATGTTTATAATATCTAAATATGAAGCAACACATATATCTTTAGACATTTTAATTGTATTTATGGTATTTAATTTTTTTTTCAGACTTACGAAGCTCCATTTATTTACAGAATAGAACAAAAGCATATCCGGGCAAAAAACTACTTTGCTCGGATTCCTGCGATGTCATCATTTTTGCATAGAAATAACAAAGAGTCTAATGCAAATTCCGACAAAAAACATAGTTCTGTGAAGTTAAAGAAGTGAACTAAATTCTTAGATTTTAAAGAAATATACTTTTTCATCAATACCCTAATTGTATTACACGGATCAAAATAAACTTCTGAAGATAAAATAATTTGATCTCAATCAGTTAATTTAACTGCATTAAAGTTTTATAACCTCATTCAAAAAAAATAAAATGTTGTTAAAGAGCTTTGTAAATTCTCAGTTTTTAGAGCAATGATTATTTTTTTGTGTATTCCTGCATTGCTTGTAACATTCTGTCTGTAGTGTAATATTCTTGTTGGGCAAATCCTTTTAATTCTTTGTCACCCTTTAATTAGAAAATTAATACTATAGCACTGTATTAAATTTATTTTTCTTGTCTTAAGCACATAAGGCAGAAACCCCCTCAAACCCTGGATTCTTACAGATGAACAGAATATATATATAGCTTTCCAGATATAGCCACCTTGCCCTGCAAACATTTGTGCAAAAGAGCAGCTTTACATTTTGTAGCTCATCTAGATGGTCATAGTAGAACTGCCAGTATGTAATTATTGTATCCAAAATGTTGAAATTATTGTAATTATTATAATTTGAGTATTATAATTTAAATATCATAATTTAAAAGACACATTTCAGACTGTTTGAAATATGTTTACTTTTGAGTTTGTATTATTTGAAGGAGTTTGTATTATTTGAAGAAGTAAATTCTCCCCATAATTAAAAAAGTTTATGTTTGATCATAGTTACAGAGAGAAACATATGGTGTAAATTCAAAAATCCAACAGAAAGTTGCAAGGTTCTTCTTGAAACCTGTATTATAAGATGTGGTTTTGACCCAGTCTTTTGCTCCAACAGATGAAACTACCTAGGAAAAAGCAGTAGCACTTAAAAAGAGAAATAAGCACATATTTGGCAGCAAACAGCTGAAAACTGAATTTACTCCCTCAACAGAACATGAACTGTAGAATCAGTTTCTGGCTGATAAGTGCATTTTAACATCATTGGAACCTTTCCACTGATTTTACCATTAAATTCAGAATTTTAGTTTAATTAAGTTCTGGATTGTAGTTCAGTACTGAACTAATTGTAGAATTGCAGCACATGAGCATTCCAGCTGGCTCATGTGCTTTCTGACATCTGAGCCTTAAGATAGGAATGGCTGCTAAGTCTGAATTTCCCCCAGAGTGATAAAAGGAGTTTTGAAGTAAATTATGGGTTGAATGGCAATGAGTCACATAGATAGGAATCTGCCTCGTTATAATTTTTTTCCTTCCTTCTTAAGCATATTTTAAAAAAGATAATTTACAACTCCAGAAGGATGATTTAAAAAAAAGTAAGGAAATAGTTCAAACAAATGTGAAAAGCCAGTAGTCCATTGATTTCAATGCACTGTGGTGTTGGAGGTTTCTGGAATCCCAGAATCATTTAGGTTGCAAGAACCTTTAAGATCGAGTCCAGCTATTTACCTGACACTGCCAACTCCACCATTAAACCATGTCTCCAAGTTCTGTGTCTGCATGGCTTTTACATCCCTCCAGGTGTGGTGACTCCACCACTCCCCTGGGCAGCTTCTTGCAAAGCTTGACTACCCTTTCAGTGAAGAATTTTTTCCTATTATCCAACCCTCATCCAGGTCATGGGTAAGGACATGAATCAGGACTAGCCCCAGTACTGAGCCCTGGGGAGCACCACTGGTGGCTGTGTGCCGGATCGATGTGAACTCCATTCACCACCACCATTACCTCTTTCCTGGCAGTGCCATTTAGTCACACCATGAAAACTTTCGCATCAATAATTAAAAATTTGTGCTAGAAGTACAGTGAGTTGGATGCTTGACTAATATTTGGAACATACTTTTCCACAAAATAAGTATCTTCTAACTAATGTCATCCTTCAAATCAGTGTCCAAAACCCACTATTTTTAGGAGTGAAGAAAAAAGGAGAAAATATATGCAGATATATTTGCGAGCTAAATTTACTTAGTGAAGCAAATTAAAATCCCACTCAATAGGCTCTCCTCGTTCCTTTTTTTCAAAGCTTTTTTCACTTCAGTTGTTCCCAAACTGTGGTTTGCGGAGATATATTAAAAAGGAAAAGTCAGTTTGTTTTCAGTTAAAAGTTTGTTCATAAGTGATATGGTAATCTGAGATAAAACAATCTGGTTATGTTTCAAGAAGTTTTAAGACTGTTTCTGTAAGGCAGAATACAGAGTATACCCACCAACTGTGCGTGTCACTGTGTGTGTTGGAAGCACCCAGCAGTGAAGAGAAGGCAAAGCTCAGGATGTGACGGCGATCGGAGCACTGCGGAACCCGGGCAGAGTCCCGTGGTTTGATTGCCACAGCCGTGGGGAGGAACAGGAAGTGAGCGTAGAAACCATGTGGCTGTGTCCCACTTGTTGCCCAGAAATGTTTTGTACAAACCAAGTCCACCTCCTGCCAGCAAATATTCCACACAATGCAGCTACACAGAGTGGGTCACAGTCCCACCGACAGCACTTTGCACAATAGTGATTAATAAGGTATAAAATGTACCTCAATTTCGTACCTCAGTGGGGGATGAGAATTTGACACAAAATTTTAAGGAACAGATTGACAGGCTTGTCTTTCTCATCCTCCACAAAAAGGATGCCTTTTGGTGAGTCTTGGGTCATCAGTTATGGTTAGTATTGACACAGGAAATTAAACAATATTGTTGCAGCCATATTGTTAATGTCATATTCTGCAGCAGCTGCTTTTGTCACCAGCAATCCCAAAGAAGCTACATTCAATAAACCATGGATTTGTGAATGAACCCAGCTGGGTCTTCTGATGTGATCAGACCTGCAGACTATTTGTGCATCTGATGTAGGGCCTAGGGTGATGTTTTTGTAAGAGTGTGTGAATTTGTTAGTGTGTCAAATATTGTCCTTCTGCAAAATTGAATTTTATTGGAAATTCTGCAATTCCTGTATTCTCTCCAGGTGCTTCTGTTTCTACCTCTGTCTTTGAGGTCTGGTTTGCTGTCTTACCTGTACACACCCTTAAACAGACACACACACTGCCTTGTTAAAGGGAACAGATGGGATTTGTAATATATCTCTGAGGTTAAGAGGAAAAAGTACATCTAAATTCTGTGTTATATAAAGGTAACATGGAGAAGAAAAGAACATGACAATGTTTTATTGCTACCCTTAAAATTATTTTTTTTCTGAGAAATCAGATTTCAGATTGAGTTGATGAACAAATTGCCTTATATTAGGCAAGCACACTATAACAATATACTGTGATTCAGGGAAAATGGATTTAAGTGATCTGGCTACATGTGCTCAGATTTAGATATGCATGTCTT